AGTAAAAGGCTTACCTTAAGACAGAGAGATTTCTGCAGCCTCTTAATGAAAAGTCACTCTGATCCAGGAATTCACTGACGCATAAACACACAAGCAAGTCGAATATCACAAGGACCTTGCAAAATCCCTTGTTTTCCCTTATGCAACTTGACTGAGCATGATCCTACAAAGGGATGTAAAAACATCACTACTTCCAAAGCAACTAACGTGATGTCACAAACAGGCTTATGACTTAATGAGGGAAATAGGCAGCCGGAGCAGATGAACTCTCAAGGAAAAAAGCTCTTGTTTTCATGATAATATCCCTAGTTGTTTAAAGCAGGAGAGGTGAAGAAAGAAAAGTTAAATGCTATATATGTGGACTTGTCTTGGAATAGAATCTTTAATAAAGCTCTCTGTGTGGTTATTGGTTTTTTAATATTCATTTTTATATATTGCCTTTGCCTTGCACAGTACATTTATTTAAATAAACATATATAATATTAATAAATTCAGGATCCAGCCATACCAATGTATATCTTACTCCCAAAGCCAATATATGGGGAAAAAATTAGGGTTATTACAAAAACACAAGTGGTCTAGTGGCAGAATTTTGCCTGCGTGGTGGGAGATTCCAGTGTTATTCCTATTCTGACACACTGTCATTCAAGAACATCACCAAGTTGTGTTATGCAGCAGAGACAGACGGGTTCATCATCCAGAAGTGCTCCACATCACTCAGCATCAACCCCTCATTCAGCCAAATTGGGATCAGTTCAGGCTGCAGGATTATAGCGTGGGCATACAGACCCAACAAGCTAATGCATAACCTCTGCCACTAACACAACATGGCATGCTTCTTGTAAGAGGGAATTCTAATGGATAGCTGATGCTACCAAAAGAAGAATGGCCCTCTGGTTAAGATATGGAATTGGGAGTCAGGAGTCCTGGGTGCTATACCTAGCTCAGAAACAGATATCCTATGTGCCCTTGGGGAAGCCACTTAGACTCTCTGGGCCAGACTCTATCTTGCACTAAGGCCCCTTTGCACTGCTTAGGGAAGATATAAGACTCCCTGAGCAATACCCCCCAGTGCAGAACACCCCTGCCCTTGGCACAGAGCTGGCTCTATGCCACATCCACCACAGCCTCACAGGAACGATCTGGGAGTGGAAGTGCAGGAAATGTGAGCCAGAGAAAGGAGGAGGTGGATTGGGGTGTAGTGAGGCAGACCTGCACTGTGGTAATTCTGCACCCCTACAATAACACATAGGGACTATTGCAACTGGTACAGTAGTTAGGACTGCCCTAGCTTGCATGGAGGAGTTGCACTGACCCCCATAGACCCTGAACACTTATGCTGGTGTGAAGTCATACATACAGTTTTATAACTACAAAGGGAATTTCAGTAAACTAAAAGAGGTGGTGATGATAATGGGGGGAGGGGAGATGATGGAGGAGAATAGAGGAAAAAAATCAAATAAGTGAAACGCCAAAGGAAAGAAGCCAGCCAAAGGACAACCAAATCTTACAGGAAAAAGTAATAGGAGGATATAAATAACAATAAGGAAAGGTGAGTGTTAAATAACAAAAAACAAAAATAAAAAACAATCCAGAAATGTAAAAGCAAAAAGACAAGGAAAATAAATTGAGAAAGAAAAAGTAGAATAGGAAAGAAGAAAGTAAAGGAAAAGAAAGGGAAGAATAACTAGAAGTCAATCTGGCAAACATGCATGATGTATCTTTACTCACAGGAGCAGTCCCACTGAATTTTATGATGATTTTGGCAGCTTCATTTCAGTTTAGAGTTGAAAACATCCTCTAATTTGTACCTGAGGCTGATAGAGAGGAAAAGAACCACAGGGAACCATTCTAGATCCTTTGCAAAGCTCCTTCAGCACTTTAACTCTGAGCCTGGCTGAGTTCCAGGAAGGTTTGTGGCAATGTCACAGACATAGCCTTGACATTAGTAGTGCCCAATGGTAGAGAGAATAATACAGAGAACGCATGTAATGGAAGTAGAAGTGAAGAGGGAAATAATCAGTGCTTCAAAATCCCCAGGACAAAACAGCTTTGATTGTATCAATCATATATTCACTTTGCAATGTACAAATCTCTCTGATACACTTCAGAGTCCATTTTACTAGTTACTGCTATTGCTGTACCTAGATTAGAAACAGACAGTTATGATTGGGAGGCAAATTTCATTACACTCATGTGTTCAGTTGCTTATTTCTTTCCAAAAAAAAATGACCCTGGAACTGATATTTCAAAAGGTAGTTAGGGGCACTCAGCCTCTACTGCCTCCCTGGAAGGGACTTGTCCATTGCACTTTCTGCCTGTAAACAGAAAGTGCAACGGACAAGCGCCTTCCAGGAGGACACAGCCAAGGAGACGTCATTTTGACTTTCCCATCGAAAAATTAGATTTTGCGAAAAGGGGAGCGGGGAGATTGGGTAGGAAAATAATTCGGACAAAAAACTTCCTGACCAGCTCTAATTAGTAAACTTAGATAGACCCCCCTTGTATGTGTACATTAGGATTAGAGCTGGGCAAATTTTTGATTCACTGGCAGTTTCAAAAAATTAAAATTAAAAACAAAATTTGAAAATTCCAAAACATTTTGGCAAATGGAATGAGTTCATTTGAGGTCAAACAAAACATTTCAGTGCACCCAGACCTTTTGTTTGCAGGTATTTTTAAAGAGCTAGATTCACAAAACACCAGGAGGAGAAGGGTGGTGGTGCTGGTGATAGATGTTCTCCTGGGCATTGTCCTGAAATGTGGGAGATCCCTGCTCAAAGGACCAATTTTTATACAGCTTTAACAGGAAATACTGAGACTTGCCCCCAGAATATCCCATAGGCCAGGGGTTAGCTCACCTGCAGTAAAGGAGATGCAAGTTCATAATCCCTTCTCTGTGTCAAGCAGAGGGGGGCATCGAATCCCTGATCTCCCCTATCCCAGCTGTAAGTTACATAGGGGCATCACCAGCAGCCCCATTTTGTAAAGGGGTCCTCAGTCCCCCACACAAAAAAATTGGATGAAACTATTCCATAAATTGGCCACAAATTAGCCAAATCATTTACTATTCGCCAGAAAAAAATGGCCCAGCTCTAATTATGATACAGTCTATAATTACATGGTGGCTGAATGGAAAAATTTAAAAAAACCTTTTCAGGTCAAATTAAACATTTTGTTTGATGCAAAACAAAATTTTTATTTAATTTTTTGTGGGGGGTGTTTGCATATATTTTATTTTATTTTTGGAGGCGAGAAAGTATTTTTGAAACTATTTTACAAATTTAACCCTAATTCACAAATAATTTCAGTCAACCCAAAACTGCATCTTTCAGCAAATAAACTATTCGTCTGAAAAAATTTTGCCCAGATCTACTCATCAGTATAGTGAGAGTGCTAAACATTAATAGGCAACAGAAGGTCCTGTGGCACCTTTGAGACTAACAGAAGTACTGGGAGCATAAGCTTTCGTGGGTAAGAACCTCACTTCTTCAGATGCAAGTAATGGAAATCTCCAGACCCTCTGTTGCTTTTTACAGATTCAGACTAACACGGCTACCCCTCTGATACTAAACATTAATAGATTGCTTTTCAGAACACACCAGTGAGAGGAAAAAATATTGTTGACACCTGTTTTATAGATGGAGAAACTGTAGAACAGAGTAATGGTCCAAAGCAGAACTGGCCAGGAATTTTTTGACAAAACAATTTGCCATCAGAAAATGTTAATTCATTGAATCAGCAATTTTGCAGAAACATACCGGTTTCAATTAAAATTTCATTGAGAATGTTTCTCAAGTCCAGGTTGGAACTTCTGGTCAAAACCAAAGAGAGACCCCAGAACAGCACTAGGCCAGAGGTTAGGGCTGTAGGAAAACCAGGTCCAAGTCACTACAAGGCGCTAGAACATGGGTCTCCCATATCCTTAACCACTGGGCAATTGGCTTTCAGAGGTGGGGGGCGGGGCGGGTCCATGTCTCTAAGAGATTACTGGAAATGCACAGGTAAGCATATAGCCAATTTCACCCTGCCATATAATGAATACCCATTCAGTAACATCCAACTAATGTCTGCTGCAGCAGAAACAGATAAGCTCTTATAAACTCAAAGATAATGTTCCATACAAATGTTCACTGTAACAAAAATATGAGAGGAGATATGCAGCAAAGATAGGCCATGTAAAGATAGAATGAAAACTTTGAGAACATAAATTTTAGCATGTCTTTAAAGATTCTTGACAACTGGTTAGATAATGTTTCAAGTTTACAGTGTAGTGTATCATAAAATAAGAAAATGGCAAAGCAAAAGAAACTTTAATGTCTGTATTTATGACAACTGATTTTGAATATACTTGAAATTAATATTTCAGTGTAGCAAACTCTCAAACAAAGTTGCCATCATAGATATGCCTAGTAAATTAGCATTATGGTAAAGTGGAAAGAAAGCTAATGGATACTATAAACAATTAAGCTATGCATCAATTTAAATATATACATGGATGAATAAATACTAAAATGAAACAGTGATCTGACAGGAACGCCCAATCTAACTTTCACATATTTTATAATGAGGCCAAATAAAATTCAGGAGCCAAACATTCCCCCAAACAGGGTTCAAACGCAGATTCCCATCTTTCCAAATGTGGGCATCTCTTGATTAGGGCCATTGGACTGATTTGAGCTCTGGGACAATGTTTTCAAAGGTGGGTGCCCACAGTTTGGAACCCAAGTTTTGAGAACTGTGGCTGTTAATCCTAACATTAATTTGAGGTTTAGGTCTGGCGTTTCAGTTCTGGCTTCTCTCTAATTTCAATTCATGTGCATAAATAAGTAAAAACGGCATCATTACTCATTGCGGAAACAGGAAGAATGGTTTTAAAAGACAAAACAGCGTTGCTATAGTTTCCTTCAGAGATTATCAAGTGCCATTTATACATTATCCAAAAACCAAACAACTTTTGTACAGAAATAACTCTGAAATCCAGTGCAGGACACAATAAATTGTCAGTTGCAATTCTGTCTTTATTGCTCAGCAAAGGGGCTTGCCATTTTGTACATTCTTAGCACACTGTCTCCCCAAATTTACTCCCCTCAGCAGTGCTTCACTGAAGTCATCCAGTCCTATTAAGGTAGTGAGAGGGGAGAGGAATCCATAGAGGCCACCCAAGGCAATGCTTAAGGGCCAGCCAAAAAACACCAGGACGATGAGCCAAAATATTCCCCACATAATACAGCTGCAATCTGCCATCTTGAACCTAGTGAGACAGTTAGAAAATAGGGGTTAATTTGGGCAGGTTCTGTTAAAAGATATTTTATATATATTTTACTTCCTAAGAAAAATTCCTATTCAGGGGGAAAAAAAGTTGTTTCAGCAAAGCAAATCTAACTCCTATATTTTACAAAACAATCTAATGCAATACAGTTCTCAAGTCACACGTGCAGCCTTGGGTGAAACAAAAGTTATATTAGAATCACTCTCTCCCAGCCCAGAATGTTTTGAATTCAGATACTTATCTATATAGAGCTATGCTAAGTAGCAAGTGTGGCTTTTAAACTACAAGAAAATATGACTCCAGATAAAGAACATAATGAAGATTAGTAAGGCAGGAAGATCATATGATGTTAACAGCATAAAGAAATCCAGGTCTTATTCACAGGCACTCTGAGGGTGCACATAGCCTTTCAGGACGCCAACAGGCAATGCTGAATGAGGTCAACTCCTGCTGCTTGTTGACTGACTTGGGAGATACAGTGTGTACACAACTAGAACCAAATCTGCTCAATCTCAGTACCTGCTGGCCCCTTTCACTGCCACTTCCTCTGGGAGCCCAACACTGGGAGTATGTGATTTCTTTGACAGCCCAATAAAGTCGGGGCCAGAACCACCATAATAGCTGTTTCCCCCCCTCCCTCAACTGAGACATATGTTGTGAGCTGTCAGGGTCCTTTATTTTTGTCTTGCTCTTTCTTCCAGTAGCCTGGGAAAACGTTAAGACTATACATCCTAAAATATTACACAACCCTAAATGCATCTTGGTGCATCCTGCTATACTTGTGAGGACTCCAGTTGCTATTTGGTGGTGATTGTCACCTTTATGTTCCTGTAGGTTACATAAAGGATTCCTCATAAAAGTTTTTTCTCCCCCAGAAAGTTTTCTTCGGACTACTTTTAATGTTATATGTTAATTCAAATATGTTAAAATGTGGAAATGCACAGTTTAGGCATCCAGACAATCTTAACTCTGTTCTGTAGTGGCACTGTGAGGAGAGAAGAAAAAATCTGAATGCATCTTTCAAAATCAATGTACCGTAATCTAATTTGGGACCACAAGCACTAAAATGCCTTAATCAAATCATATGCTTTTTGGATGGTGTCACTACAGGATAGAGTTAAGGTGTTTCGGTGTTCCCTAACTGTTAATGGCTGTACCTTAAAACGTTTGGATTGAAGTTTAATAATAATTCTTAATTTCCTGAGTTTAAAATGCCAGCTTTTGGGACAATTACAATGTAATTTATTTTACCCTAAATTACTGCTATGTATTTTCAACCTTAATTCCATTTTCTTGTAGTCTTTATCAGGAACTTAATATTGTTATTCATTAAAACTGGTCAAAATTTTCAACAGAATAATTTTTCATCAGAAAATGGAGTTTTGCCAAAATCAAAATGTTTCACTGGAATGTGTCGACAGACAGAATTTTCAAAAGGAAAATGTTAAAATGAATTATTTTGACTTTCTTGTTTCATTTCAATGTGATTGAAATTTTTGGTTTTGATAATGTAAAAATGTTTGGTATTTTACACTTTTTGTTCCATTTCATCTTGATGTTATAACATTTATATATATATTAATTTAATATTTTATATTAAGTTTCAACTTCATCTAAATGAAATGTTCCAAACTAAAAAATTTTGGAAATACTCTGAGAGAAATTTTGAAATTTCAATATTTTTTCCAATTCAGAACAAAACAAATGTCAAAAAGTGAATATTTCCTATGAAATGGAAATGTGGTTTTCCATCTAGCTCTATTTATTATTTGTAATATAGTAGCTACCGGGTTACCATGAGATGACAGTCACATTGTGTAGGAACTATAAAAACAATGAGTAAGAGAGAGTCTCTGTCCTCGGGACAGATAAAAGGTGACAGAAAGGGCATATCTGAGTTTGACGGATGGGGAAACTGAGGCATAGAGCAATTAAGTGTCTTGACCAAGCTCTTATCAATAAGGGTGGAGCCAGGAGATAAACCCAAATCTCCTGTTTCCCAGTCCAGTGCACTAACCAGAAGACGGCCCTTCCTATCCTTAATTACACAAGTAGTCCCAATTTCATGAGTAATCCTTATTCATGTACATAGTCCCATTGGGTTGAAACTACACACATGAAGGCTTGGGCCTTCAGGTAGTAAGTTCCTTGGGGCAGAGATGTACTATTTTGTAACTGTCTCTAAATAGTAATTGCACACACCTCTGGCACTATATGAATAATCATTTTAAAGTAATATCACTTGTCATATATGAATTATAACACAAAATATATTTTTAAAAAATGGGTACCTTTAACCAGAATTCCCAATTGTCACCTTACTCAAAAAATCGATGATTGGACCAAGCTCCACCTAAGGAAACTAGAACAACAGGATCAGGATACTGTCAAAACAGTTAATGAACAAAATAAATTGACTATGTCTGGAATACTGCATTCTGATCTGCATTGCATTCAATTCCGGGCACCTCAGCACCAGAAAAATGTAGGTTGATTGGAAGCAGTTCAAATAATACAAAAATGGCTATGGTGCTGGGGTTTATTGAGGAAAAGTTAAAAGAACTGCTTGTTTATCAAAAGATTAAAGAAATTGTGATACCCATCTATAAATATATGAAGATGAAGTGGTTAAGCATCAAGGATAGTGAGAAATGACTTAGGGTGTCAAAATGGTAGTCTAATTAGCCATCATGAATTTACACTGATCTTTAATGAAGTATCAGTGTAGATACTACAATATTACTGATTTAAATTGGTTGCTTCTAATTGAGATGCTATTAAGATGCAAAGGATGCCATGGCAATAGGCACTGTGCAAAAAAATCATTAATAATAAAATACAGTAGGAACCTCAGAGATATGAACACCAGAGTTACTAGTGACCAGTCAGCCACACACCTCATTTGGAACCGGAAATACACAATCAGGCAGCAGAAGAGACACGAACAAAACAAACAAACAAAAAAAGCAAATACAGTACATTACTATGTTAAACGTCAACTACTAAAAAAAATAAAGGGAAAGCAGCATTTTTCTTCTGCATAGTCAAGTTTCAAAGCTGTATTAAGACAATATTCAGTTGTAAACTTTTGAAAAAACAACCATAATGTTTTGTTCAGAGTTACAAACATTTCAGAGTTACGAACAACCTCCATTCCCGAGGTGTTCATAAATCTGAGGTTCTACTGTAGGTAAATAAATGATGGGATGAATAAAGAAAATTTAGGGAGGCTCCCGGGAAAACCTTCTTGACAGTGAGATTACTCAGGCTGGGCAACAATGTCCCAAGAGACGTTCTGTTGCTTGAGACATTTAAAGCACAACTAGAAAATGTTATGCACCACAGGGTATAATCTTGCCGTGGCAGTGGCTAATGGACAAGATTCCACAATAGGCCCTTTTCACTGCTGATTTCCAGGTTTCTGTGGTTAAATTAGTAACAGACGAATACAGCAACATATTAGCATCAAGTAGCTGGGGTCCATGAAAGGACACTGCTTTACTAACTTAATTTAAACTGCCCTTTGACACAGAAGGTAAATATTTTGTTTGATTGTGAGTAACACAGCAATATAAGGCTTACCTTTAAAGCAAATGTTTCTGTGGCCTTTTAAATGACCAGATGTACTCTTCTAGGCATTCACTGAAGCACAAGAAAACAAGCAAGCTGAATAACACCAGGAACTTAACAGAAAAGTCTTTGTTCCCCCTTATGCAACTTGCTGACATCATCTAACAGAAGTGTATCAAAACATTAATACGCCCACAGTAACCAATGTGACATCACAAACAGGCCACTGTTTCATGTGGGCAACAGGGAGCAGATGAGTTGAAACAAATGTCTTGTTGTCATACAAATATCTTTGACAGTATAAACTTGGGGGAAAAGATTTGCCATTGATCACCTAAGAACTGAACACACGCAGTCTACGCTCACACATCCTATACAATTAGTTGCCCTGTCTCTCCTGCCCTTGCCCCTCACTTTGGGTCCCTGTCACACATTATGCCCTACTTTGGGGACATCAGAGACATGTACCCACTCCACACCCAGTCTTGCGCAAGCACCAAGCGAAGCGACCTCTGGCCTGGCACCCCTTGAGGGGCAGAGGGGGAACGGCAGCTGCAGGGCTGGGCCATGGGGGCTCCAATCAGATTAACATAGTTACCATGGGGCAGGGGCCCATGGCTCCATGTGGATGAGGGACCTGTCTCAGCAGGAGCAAGGAGCCTGCCTCACCCTAAGGAGAGAGGAGGCAGACTGCCCCACTGCCCGCAGGGAGCGGGCAAGAGCGGCAGTCCCCCCCCCAAACCAACCAGGCTCTTCCCCTCCCAGCTGACTCTGAATTGGCCCCAGTATATTACTAGGTGTCCAGAGCTGGGGTGGGAGCATAAACAGAAACGCCCTCAGCCCTTAATCTTTCCTGTCTTCTTCCACACCCACCCTGGTGGGCTTTAGTTCAGCCTGCAGCGTGTTCAGACCCTTCCAACTGCCACCCTGTGGCAGTTACTCTTCAAATGTGCCCAGCTTTCTAGGGTATATTTTAACAGGGGAAAAAGAAATCCGTAAACAGTTCTATAAAAAAACATAAAGGCACCATAACTAAAGGAGGCAACAGTAATAAAAGAATAATTAAAATAAAATATTCCTAATAAATTATTATAATGGAAGAGAGGCGGAAAGAGGGAAATAAACTGAAATGAAATAAATACATTAAAACCCTGAAAGGGAAGTGAAAAATAAAAGTAAACCAGAGGTTAAATAGATCACAGAGAAGAGCTGGTAATGGAAGGATATAAATAAACAATTGCAAATTCTGAAAAAGATTAGAAAGAAATAGAGCAGGAAAATGAAAGAGAGAAAAACAAAGAACAAATGAGACACATGTAAGAGCCCAAACCTGCAAACACACACACACACTTCTTACTTACACTAGTAGTCCCTTTGTCCCAGACTTAGCACAGAACTGGAAAGGACGAGGGAAAATGTGGTTTTAAACCATTTTTGCACACCCCAGTCTTAAGGCAGATAGAAGCCAGTTCAGCGCCAGCTGCCCTAACTTATCACTGATAAAGTTTACAGATGACACAAACACTGGGGGAGTAGTAAATCATGAAGAGGACAGATCACTGTGCTGGGCACAAGCAAATAGTATGCATTTTAATACACCTAAATGTAAACGTATACATCTAGGAACAAAGAACACAGGCCATACTTACAAGATGGAGGACTCTATCCTGGGAAGCAGCGACTCTGAAAAAGATTTAGGGATATGGGTGGATAATCAGCTGAATATGATTTCTCAGTGCAAAGCTGTAGCCAAAAGAGCTAATGGAATCTTGGGATGCATAAATAGGGAGATCTCAAATAAGAATTGAGAGGTTATTTTAACCTCTGTATTTGGCACTGGTGTGACCGCTGCTAGAATACAGTGTCCAGTTCTGGTGCCCACAGTTCAATAAGGATGTTGATAAATTGGAGAGGATTCAGAGAAGAGCCACAAGAATTATCATAGGATTAGAAAACATGTCTTCAAGTGATAAACTCAGGGATCTTCATTTATTTAGCTTAACAAACAGAAGGATAAAGGATTACTTGATCAGTCTATAAGTACCTGCGAGGGGAACAAATATCTGCTAATGGGCTCTTCAGGTATAACATGTTCCAGTGGCTGGAAGTTGAAACTACACAAATTCAGACTGGAAATAAGTCATGCAGCCAATGATTTTAGTTTAGTATCCATTTATTTATTTATCATGTGATGATAGGTTATACTACATATATTCACTGTATGTTAATTAGAGTTAATTTGTAGGATTATGAAAGTATAAGATTGATCAGTATTTAAAGGAACTATGTGGTAGACATTAATAAGAGAAGCTGAAACGCAAAAACCCATAGGCCGAAGCCTCAAGACCTTAGCTTAGCTATTTTGGGTCTTGGAGACAAAAAATAATGGCGCAAGTCAATGACCAAGAAATAACCCAAAAGATAATGGAAAAGAGGTACCAACTGGTAATACTGCAAAAGTATAGCTGGAAAGATTAAATTAAATTATAAAATGCTGTGACAACAAATATTGTCTCTAACACAGGCCCTAACCTCAGAATAAAGGTGGTACATCGATGTTAATAAAAACCTACCCAGCCTATAGAATTCGGCATCCCTTGTGTTTCCAGGGGACACAAACCAATAAGAAAAAGAGGGTTGACACTTTCATGTACATGCACAGAATGTAGGTATAGAAAAAAATCACAGTATAAAAAAGGTTGCCCAGAACAGGAAAATTGAGCTTTCTAGGGGAACTCCAGCAGGAACCACTCACGTATTGATGGTCAATCCATGAGAGGGCCAACAGACTAACACCATCTAGGAGAATGTGAGTATGTCTGTAGGTATAACTGGTCCATTATACTTATCTTTAGGAACTGTATATGCTGTAACATGTATAGCTTTGTCGGTAACTTTAATAAAATTACTAAAAGGTAAATGCTCTTGTAATTGTATGTGTTATTTGCCTATGGTTTCATGTGTTCCTATGAACTTGAAATATAAAACAAACAGAGGTAACTCTGTTGAACTTAAGACTCTAGTTGCCAGAACCAAACCCACTGAAGTATGATTAATCTTAAATAAAATAAAAGGCTACAGATTTGGTGTCCAATAGCAGGGCCATAGAAAACACACAAAACCAATAAGAAACAAAAGTTTGAGAACAAAATATATATAGATCAAAAGTCATAATGAACTAAAATGGAGACTTCCTGCTTTCACTTATGCTTGTTTGCATTTTATGTTGTTTTGTTTGTCTACCTGTCTGATGTTGTAAGAATTGAGCTCAGGGGAAAGAAATAGTGAGACCGCAGTTGTGTAAAAGGATTCTAGCACTCTCTTATGGGTAGAAACCCTATCAGAGTGAGTCAGATATTCCACCCTCAACTGCAAGTCATAAACTCCCCAAATCTGTTAATAAGCTCCATGAATTTTATACTCCTCTGGACTGCATCGCCGATGGAGGATCAAGTAAAACTTTGTGGGGTTACGTGGTCACCGCCCCGCCTCTCGGTGTACTCCAGCTGTAAAACAGCTACAGGAGAAGCAAGCACCACAAGCCCTTCTCAAACAGAGAAATCCCTATAAGATATTTATCAGGAGCAAGGAAGAGATGCCTTCTATAATTTTTCTAAGGAAAGTATGGAACAGAATAAATTATCTGTTCAGGCATGTGTTTTAATAGACCCACAAACGTCCTTGGAGGCCTTTGTGCGAAACTACATCAAAACCCATGGGGGAGGATTAGTTAGAAAACCAAGCAATGGCATCCTCTGGGCCCATAGATATCCTTGGAATTTAATGTGTTCCCTCTTTGAGAAGGAAAAAGAAAAGAAAAGAGTTCAAGAGGTGAAAGGAATAGCCGTGGATTCTGTATATCTGGCATGTAACATCCTGGGGAGAAGATTTAAAAGAAAGCAACTGTAAGAGACAAGACAAGCCTTGTCCAGAGAGCAGGAGACTAGTGACACATTGAGAGAACAACTTAGTAGGACAAGAGAAGTAAATTCCATACTCCTGGATCAAAGGGACAGTTTGGCAAGACACCTAAGCTACAGCAAGCAACAGTTACAAAAAGCTGGTTATGAAATTCTGATGTGGAGAGACAGAGCAATGGGTCAGGGACGTTCATTTGGGCAAGAAGTGAGAATAGCAGAGCTGGTTCACAGAACACAGGTATTAGAACAAACTTGTGACATTCTGGAGGATATGTATTGTCAGGTAATCAATATTGAAGGTGAAAATGAGGAGATGTGAGTAGATGAGGAGGATAACTGTATGGAGATAGAGTTACCATGGGCGGCGAGTTCTATGGGCCTGTGGTGCCTGCGCACCAGGAATATTCCGGTGCCCAAGCACCACGGGCCCGGCTCCCGCCTTCTGCCCCTGGGTGCCCCCTCCCCCGTGTCTCCCAGACCATTTAAAACAGCCTGGGGCCCCCACTCACCACCGGCAGCTCAGCAGAGCTGAGCAGCTTCCTGCCTGCTCGCTCCCCGTGGCTGCCGGCCTCTCCCTGTGGCACCTGGGCAGGGTGGGTTTGTGTCCCGCCCCAAGCGCCCCTGCGGCCAATAGGAAGCTGTGGAGGTAGTGCCTGGGGGTAGCAGCACACGGAGGCTCCCCGGCCTACCCTGCCTAGGAGCCCTAGGTAAGCGCCGCACCCTCCCCACACCTTCCCAGAGCCTGCACCCCCACCCCCTTCCTACATTCCCGCCTCCGGCCCCCATGCTCCCTCCCAGAGCCTTAGGCAGGTGGGGAATGGAGTTGGGGGGAGTGGGCTCTGAGCACCACCAAAATTTCTACAAACCTGCTGCCCCTGGGAGTTGCCACCTCTATATGTTGTAAATATAATTCCAGATATTCCAGTAGCTGTGGTGGAACCTGGGGAAGAACAACAACGTAGAGGTAGAATTTTACCCCTACTTACCAGATTGAGAGCTAAACTCAGACAGGAAGAACAACAGGAAACTGAACAATGTGGAGAGCTAAGAATAGAGGAAGTATCAGACACAGAAGATTCGGAGGGAGAGAATGGGGGATTTGAAGAAACTGTCAGTAGTGAAGCAAGGAAAAGATAAGTTGTAAAACGTTTTGATGGAAGTTTTGATAAGAAATTAAATATTGCAGGTTTAAGACAAGAAATGAAACGAAGAGCAATTAGTAGCTGTTGTGAGAGTGAGAAGAAAGAGGGACAAAGAATGAGTAAGCCAGACCTGTAACAAACCCATCTGCAATTGTGCTGTTTGTTACAAGAAACTCAGGGAACTATAAAAGTTGCTGTGAAGGCCTGTAAGAAGGCAATCTTAGATATCAGTACCTCTCAGGAAAGACAAAAGTCTTTGCAACCTTAAATTCCAGCAAGTATTTTTGATATCTTGAAGTCAACTGAATCAGAAGGAATAATGAAAAGAACAAGTGGCATATTTCATTTTGAATCTGATGTGCCCACTGTACCCCATGCCACTTTAGAGCCAAAATCAGAATCTCCACAGAAACCCATGCCAGTGCCAAACCTTCCTAAGGTACAGGCACCTACCCAAGGCAAAAGAAAATGTAAAGGGTTACAGCAAAACCCTACATCTAAATTATCTACTGTTAAAGTTGCCCAAAGTTGGGAGATACCAATTCCTCTAGAGAAAAAGAAACTTAGACTCCCCAATATAACCATGAAGGAGAAGAATCAATCAATTCCTAATGTGGAACCAGTAGAATCCAGTAAACATGTCTCTCCAACAGCCATGGTAACACATGTAAAAACCTTAGAAGCCATTGCAAAAATGGTAGCGCTGATGAAAAAAGGAGATCCAGTGGCTGCCCCCACAGCACATTTAGAAACAGTAGTGAAACTGTTGCTGTTAGATTAAGAGAATTTGGATAAGATTCTACAGTTAACTGTAGACAGAGCCTTATGGAATACATTGCCACCAAAATTTCAAGAAGGGGAAAAAAAGTCATTCAAAAACACTGTGCGACTGTTAGAAAGAAATATGCATCCAGACCAGGAGTTACTTTGGTAGCTAACATGAAGCAACGTGATGGTGAGTCACTGCATGAATTTCATAATAAATTTTCTTCAGCTTGGATATCTAATGAAATGCCTGGAAAGGAAACAGAACCACAGTATATTAATTTGCTTGTTAACAATTCTTTAGAAGCAGTTCGGGGTAAAGTAATAATGCATGTCAACCCCGGGAGCACTCTTCCAGAAGTGCTGGATTTGTTGTCTAAAGCCTATATTCAAACCCAACAGAAGGGTTCCAAAAGAACTCACCCTCCTATAGCAGTTGCTCAAGAAGCCTCAGGTAAACCAGTAATTAAAGTAGAAGGCCTACAAACTATGACATAAGGACAATCACCTGGTCCAACAGGGTTGGATAATAATATTAAAATCAGATCATACCCAAGGGGGGGGGGCATACCACGATGTCCTCAAATTCAAAATCCCAGATACTATGACCCTAGAAACATGAATAAAGGAATAGGGACATGCTCCTTACCATCTTCACCAACCACAAGCAGGAAACAATTCATGTCTGACATGAATCGTTACCACTCTCACCTGAGAATCCTGACTCGTCGACCCCCTAGTCCTATAATGGACATAATTATTAAAGAACTCCGTCAAATAGGGAAAACACTAGATTCTCACAAGTGTGAAATGCAAAAAATTCCAGGATATTGAACAACCAACACACCCCACCTCAACCCATTGCCGTAACAACTGAACTGGCATTCTGGATTTCAACTCCATGCATGGAGTACGAGAACGACCAAGCGGAAAAAAATGTAAATCCAAGAAAACAGAATGGGTGACGCCAAAAGGCCCCATGCAAATTTGTAGCTTCTTTAGAAAAAGATGTAAATGGGAAACCACAGTATCAACAATGGTGAGGGGCTGCCATTTTTTATTATTGACATTGAAGCCTCAATCAGCATAATCAATGATAAAAATCCAAAATCATCCCCTTTATCATCAGGACAACCCAGAGTGTTAGCAACATTTGCAAGTAACCAGATCACAGCTGAGTTATCAAAATCAGTAGTGACAGAAATAGGGGACATAAAAAGGGGGGACATAAAACATGTATTTGCACTAGCAAATTTGAAAGAACCCTACAATTTACTGTAAGTATATTTTCTGAGGAAACATGGATGCCTTATAGATTTGACCAATCGCTTGCTATGCTTAACAGTACAGGCATTAGACAATCAACCTGCTGTCATTTGCATTTGTGACATTGTTTCAACTGTAACTAAACCAGGAATGTATATCATAGAAAACATTGCAAAAGGGAGAACTAATGTGCAGGCATTAGTAACTAAGCATGTTGTTGCTTTTGCTAAATACAAGCGGGAATGTGAAATGATGGATGTAACTGTTAAAATTTCAGGAGGAAATTTTCCCCCACAGAAGCAATATCCTTTTCTGGATCAGGCCAGACCTTACAGTGTGTGATACATGAAGGGGATGGTGGGGGGAGAGTAGCTTCCTTTGATGGACACCCAGTGAGCCAGTTAGGTATAAAATCCCTCTTGGTGTCTGTTCTCTTCTTGCTTTACCTGTAAAGGGTTAACAAGCCCACAGGTAAAAGAAAAGGATTGGGCAGAACTTTTAAAATTGGGAAAGAAACTTTCCCTTTGTCTGTTGTTCTCTGTGCTGAAGAGATGGCGCAGCAGGAATGCTGTGTAAAGTTTGAACCAGATCATATCTAAAACTACTTTTAACAACCCAAAGGTGTAAGTAAATCAGAATGTTTAGCTAGAAGCGATCAGGTTTCTTTCTGTTTATTTTTTAAGGCTTGTGGATCTCCACTGTGCTAACTCCAGATGCTTTTGTTTGCTTGAAACCTTTAAGTTGAAACCCCAAGAAAGCTATTTTGAGTGCTTGATTTTTGGAATTGCTCTTTTAAAATCTAGCAAAAGTCTAAGTTCCAGATATATTTTCTCTTTCTTTTTGTTTTTAATAACATTTAGCTTTTTAAAGAACAGAATTGGATTTTTGGTGTCCTAAGAGGTTTGTGCATGTTGTTTGATTAGCTGGTAGCCACAGCTAATTTCCTTTGCTTTCTTTCTCAGCTCTTCCCTGGAGGAGGAGTGAAAGGGCTTGAGGGTACCCCACAGGGAGGAATTCCCCAGTGCTCCTTCCTGAGTTCAAAGGAGGTTTTTTTGCATTTGAGTGGTGGTAGCGTTTACCAAGCCAAAGTCAGAGAAAAGCTGTAACCTTGGGAGTGTAATACAAGCCTGGAGTGGCAAGTATTAATTTTTAAAATCCTTGCAGGCCCCCACTTCTGCTCTCAGAGTGACAGAGTGGGGATTCAGCCTTGACACAGTGCTAAGGAAGCCAGACGAAGTGTAACACAACAAAGGTACAACTAATGGTCTCAGAAGTTTCTTTTTTAGGCATCACGTGGTCTCAAGAAGGTCGAACACCTGCCCAACAGAAGGTGAATGTGATTCGGGAATTGCCTGTGCCCACTGACATAACTTCTTTACGCTCTTTTTCAGGCTTAGCAGAATACTATCAGGACATCATCGCTAACTTTGCTCACATTGCAGGTCCACTCTATAATCTCTTGAAAAAGGGAGTTGCTTCGGTCTGAACAGCACGTAAATGCATTCATCAAGTTAAAGCAACCAATAATGCAGGCACCTGTGCTGATGACCCCAGATCCCAGCAAACCATAGCATCTAGATGTATCTGTGAGCACAACTGCACTTGCAGCAACAGCTTCTCAAGAGAAACATGGAACAATCAAACCAGTGGCATATGCTTCCAGAAAAATGAGTCCAGTGAAACTTAAATATTCCACTTGCAAGAAGTACTTGTTAGCCACCAACTGGGCAATCCAACTTTTTTCATTTTTGATTGGCTTAAATCCAATAGTCTTGCATTCTATGTTCTTGCTTTCTAATCAAGTCAAAGATGAACAAGTGTCTAATGTTCAACTGGCACACTGTACCTTGTTATTGCAGGGCAAAGATACAACAGTGACCCCAGTACAGATTCAATCTCCATTGCCAGACGCGCTGTTATATTCTGAAAACCATCATGTGTGTCCAAATATAGATCAAAAGAAACTCTTAAATCAATTCTTCACATTAATGCCATCCCATATAACAATCACAGAATCTTATTGCTTTTTCATTGACGAATCCAGCTATCATAATTAAAGGAAATTATGGTATCCCTCCAAAATCAAATTATCTGGACATTAGTAGAGTGGGTAAGTAAATCCGAGGGAAACTGATATGGTTTGGAAAGTATCACACTCATGTGCTCCACATCCTGCTCAATATGTGAAACTTGCAGCAGTAGCATGTGTATTGTAACAGTGCCAAAAACTATCTATCACTAAAGAGAACCACCCCTTAATTATTTTTTCAGATTCAGCTTGAGCATGTAATTCACTTAGATTTTTTTTTACCAGTAAGCGATGCTTATGAATTTACATCCTCAGATGGAGCTCAACTTAAATATGCATAATTTTTACAATATATTGTCAAACTGGCTGTACAAGTATCCACTCCAGAACAGCAACGCATAATTCAAAAGATGCAAGCTCATAGTAAAATAGGGCCCTATGCTCAGGAAAATCATCATGCTGATTTGTTAGCCAAAAAATAAGCCTGTAGTGGAATTTTATGGGAGAAACCCAGGCAAATAGATCCCATGGCAAATTCAAATTTGACCCCAGTCGGAGCAGCAAAAGACCAATTCAACACAGGGGTACCAGATCTAAAAACTTTGCAGGCAAAGAATCAGACAATTGTCAAAAGCAGAGAACAAACAGCTTGAAGTTCCCTATCACAAGATTCCCTATGTCAAAAGTACAAATCAGAGTTATATATAAATAAGGGTATATTGATGTATCTCGAAGAGCATTTTCCGGTGTGGGTAGTCCCATCCCAGTTGTGCAGGAAAATGACCGATCTACTTGGTCCATGACACACCTTCGGGACAACATCAAGGGGTAAATAAAACCATGCAGCGCCTCACCTCCGTGGGTTGGTGGCCATGCATGAAAATAGATGTGCAATAATATTGTGAAAATTGTTTGGTCTGTGAACAAAACAATCCTATCCCCACAAAAAAGAATGCTTCCTTAATATCTCAAATGTATAAAGGTCCTTGGCAAGCTTTGCAAATTAATTTTGTGAGACCTTTATCAAAAACTCAAAGAGGAAACCCATACCTTTTGGTCATCATTGATCCATTCTCTAAATCGGGAGAAGCATTTCCTTTAAAAGCAAACACTGCTTTGGGCTACAGCAAAAATCTTAATGAAACAAGTATCAGAGGGGTAGCCGTGTTAGTCTGAATCTGTAAAAAGCAACAGAGGGTCCTGTGGCACCTTTGA